TACGATGTAGGTACACGCATCGCACGAGTATGGACGAAGCTGAGAGTGTGGTTTGGTAGCAGCAAACAGAACATAAATAGCTGATGCGACTCTGGCGTCGTTTCGTCGAGAAGTGCTGGCTGACGTGTCCTGCTGATATGCTCTGCCGCTCACGGAATGTACACAGGTATCCATCCGGTGATAAGACACTCGCAGGACTGGTGACACACACAATGGGTGAAAGCTTCGCAGCTGTGTGACCTTCACACGACTGCAACAACTGAAGCGCCAAAGACTACTGTTTCTGAGCACGAAGGACTCGTGCACTGCCAGCCTCGGTCGTTCCGTCATGTATATCATAGCTCGTGCCGCCATTCGTTGCAAAGATCGCGTCAAAGTCAACTCTTCGATTCTGCATGTGGTCTTCGAGTGATGAGGCTGTGCGACCACTTCATCGATGCGCTCTATTCCACACACTCGCGCCAACAAACTCAAGTGTCAATGCACTAAAACACGCAACAACGTCAATGGCAACAAGTCCACAGCGTCTTTCTCCAACACAAGACGGGCGAGCACAAACCATGTCGTCGCAACACGATGCGACCCGTTCTCGCCTGAAGGGCCTCACAAAGTCGGCACCCGGTTCCCGAGATCGTGATGCAACAACCGAGTGAAGCGCAGCTGTGCCGAGGCCTACGCATTCTTTGAACCATTGTGTGTGAGACTGTCCCATTTCGGAGACGCTGTGTCACTTCAACTTGCCTTCTCCCTTGCCACAGTGCGCCATAGCTTGCGTGCATGACGCATTTGCGATCAGTGAGAGCGCAATGCGGAGCATGAGGTGCTCACTGAACACTGAACGTGCTCACAACTGGTGCTGCTTCCGAACAGACTTTCAAGTTGTTGAGCATCGCTCGGGTTCGCAAACCTGTCGATCTCAATCAGATTGTAGCAGCGACGAAGGAAAATCACAGACGAGCGCGATCGGCTCCGCATGAAGTTGTCAGCCGTCTTTTGGAACTGGGATGGGACTTTACACCCCACACGCCCACTCTTGCCTGACCATCAGACTTACACAAGCTCAGCAAAAAATGCTCCTCCTTCTTCTTCTCCTCCTCCTCCTCAGCGACAATGACGTGCGCGTTCACTTGCTTGATTCTTCTCGCTCTTACATACTCACGTAGAAGCTGCTGTACAAATTCGCGTCACTGCACCGCGAGACCAGCGACGCGCTAGTATCGCCCATTCGCAAGTCATGTCATGCCAACATGGCAACGGAGCGGCACGACAATGGTACCGAACGTGACACGGTTCATATTGATCGTTCAGCAACTTCGATGTTCCGGACCCCGCGACACGCCGCCCACGAAAAAGACGACGACTTCGAGCCGCTCTCACACGTGTCAACCAACAAAGGTCCTCTGCTCGATGAGGTTGACTTGCTCGACAGTGAGTGCGCGGAACAGTACACACTTAGCTTGTCGTCGGATGGAACGCAAAAAAGGGGTTGCAAACACACGTGTCTTTCTTCGTCTCAAAGCCCGTCCGACATCACACGGACTCGTGTAACGACTGCCGAGCGTCAGGCAAGCTCGAACGAGATGCAGAGGTCGCGAACAAGACCAGGCCGAACAAGCCATCTCGACATTCGGTCCTATCGTCCGACACATCAAAGACGTCATCTTCCTTGCGACCCCCCCCCCCCCCCCCCCCCTCCATGCGAAACTGCAAATGACAGTGGCATATTCATCTGCACTGAACGCGGGCAATGGATTCAAACGGCAGACAGCAACGCATGTCGACAAAGCAACGAGACGGCGGATGCACACCGTACAAGCCATCCACCGGACCCACTGTAGACACGTCAGCGGTGTGCCATCATGAGAACGTTGCAGCTTGGCGCCTGCGATGACAGTAGCTGCTGCCTGTCTGAGCCCATGTAGCGTATCTGGACATTCACACTCAAAATAGCGTGCAGTAGCTGGACGCACAGATCACACAATCTCAATCGCTCGCGCATGGCACGCCATAACGGCAGTTCCGTAGAGTCGTTGGTCCAACGTTGCTGGACCGGTGCATTAAGGCGATCGTGACCTGCGCCATGGTGCCCAATCAGCGCAGCTACGTAGAGGAGCAACACCAGGAGGTGCCGACCACGTATTTTACGCAGCACTTGGACCTTGGAACTGAGTGGTAGTCCCAGACCCAGCTTTGCATGTAGCACCTGTCGGCTACACACTTCAAGTCTTCCTTTTCGGCGACTGGCTGCTAGACACGTCAAGCCTCCTATCGGCTTTCTAGCTCCTTTGCACGTCAAAGCTATTGCAAGTGCTGCTTCCTTCAGTCTCACCCTGTTGTCGTTGCGACCACTGCTACAGCACAGAGTCGCGCGAGAGAGCCATAGAAGAGCTGCGACTGTGTCGAGACGCCATCTTGTGCGTCGCTCCAATGAGCTGACTGGACTCGAGCTTCAGCGTTTCGTCTGGCATCGATAGTGCGTTGCACACTCGGACGATCGTGTCGTGATATCAAGCGACAGGCAGTCGCCGCTCTCCACCAGTCCAAGTGCACGTGCCGTCGCCTGACCGAGTCGCGCTTGCTCACAGTAAGTCACCAGGTCGTTCACAGCCGCTCGATGCGGTTCATCGCCCACGCGACATCCGTTCTCGTCGCTGATACAGCGGCGCCCACCAGCAGCGGCCTTCAGATTGCTCAGTGCACTGCGCATGTCGCCTTCAGCTGTCGGGACAAGCGCCGCGGGGCCCTCGTCCTTGTGCCCAGAGCTCTCCTGCGCACAGACTGTGCATACGCGACGCAGACGCATCTCGTCCGACAGTCGCGTGCAGCGCAGTTTACGGCTGAGCGACTCGGGCGGACTCCGCGACGTCCGTCGACGAGTGTCACGCGCGAGCGGAGCGTGAAAAAGAGCCCCGCGGCCGTCCGAGTGTCTGATTGGTGCGCCAACCGCCGCATTGGCGTCGGCCTCGTCGGGAGTCACGAGCGCGTGGCGAGCAGACGGAGCGTCGCCTTCTGCGGCGCCAACGCCTCTTGATCTGCGTCCGGCGGTGTCGCTCCCGCGGCCATCGATGGCGTTCAGCGCGCGCTCTGTCAGTCGCACCAAAGAGGTCGGACCTGCGGGTCCGCTTGCGAGTCCCGAGAGGCGCGTGGGACGAGTGGGAGTAGTAGAAGTAGTGGTAGTGGTCGTAGTAGTATGTGCAGTAGTAGTAGTAGTAGTTGTTGTTCTTGTAGCAGTAGTAGTGGTAGAAGTCGTAGTAGTAGTAGTAGTAGTAGAAGTCGTAGTAGTAGTAGTAGTAGTAATAGTGGTAGTGGTCGTAGTAGTAGTAGTAGTAGTAGTAGTAGTAGTAGTAGTAGTAGTAGTAGTAGTAGTAGTAGTAGTAGTAGTAGTAGTAGTAGTAGTAGTAGTAGTAGTAGTAGTAGTAGTAGTAGTAGTAGTAGTAGTAGTAGTAGTAGTAGTAGTAGTAGTAGTAGTAGTAGTAGTAGTAGTAGTAGTGTAGTAGTAGTAGTAGTAGTAGTAGTAGTAGTAGTAGTAGTAGTAGTAGTAGTAGTAGTAGTAGTAGTAGTAGTAGTAGTAGTAGTAGTAGTAGTAGTAGTAGTAGTAGTAGTAGTAGTAGTAGTAGTAGTAGTAGTAGTAGTAGTAGTAGTAGTAGTAGTAGTAGTAGTAGTAGTAGTAGTAGTAGTAGTAGTAGTAGTAGTAGTAATCGAATGGGTGGTTGGAGTAGCGGTAGTAATTGATGGAGTAGTAGGTAGAGCACAGGTTTCGGAAATTAGTGTGGGCAACAGAATAGTGATACTCGTTGAATAGTGTGGGCCACGATATATATCGGGCATTAGATAAATTGCCGAATTTCTGGTGGCACTCGATGCAGTAAATACCTTAATTATTGTGATTTGACAATGCCGCAATTTGGCTCAGTCGTGAAACGATCGGTCTAGGTACAAAAAATCCCGACTTTGACATCGATAGCATACAAAATAATATAATATATATAAAACCTTTATTTTGAAAAGGGAACTGCTAATGAGCCTTCAGGATTCGCCAATAGGCCTTCACCCCATACATTAAACAAGCTATTGGATTTAAAGGTCTCGCAATTCTAAAATTAAACTACTGTTTTTAACGCTCCTACTTCTAAACTTTTCACGGTCGATCTCTAAGACATATTACCATCGTTACAAGAAGCAGAAGAATATTTGACCTGCGACGCAGCGCAAAACAGTGCGCACTAGGCGAAACGGGCTTGCTGCGTGGTGCCTTATCATGATCGTTCTCAAGAGCGCGAAACGAAGTTAAGTTGGGTACGACATAAGCGTGTAAATATACGATCTTGATATCACAACACATATTTTATACTTCTCAGCCTCTAGATGCGCTTGAGCGAGATAACAAACCCATCTTCATGAATCGCCCGTTGTGGAAAGCTTTAAAAGGTTGTTAAAGGGCCATTAAGACCAAAATTAATGTGTAGTTGAACAGAGTTATTTACATAGTGATGGCATCTTAGTAAAAAGAAGATGTACATTGCTAACGACCATCAACATCGACATCACAGTTCAATTTTTGATGCAGCATTGACAGCATCAAGCACATGATCGAAATGCGCTATATCCTCAATATGTCGCAATGCTGGAGGAGCTGCAGGCACTGCTTGTGCTTGTGCAGCTTGACGACATGTACTTGCGTTATGCCCCAAATTCAAACAGCGTCCACATCGTCGACGTCTCTTGGGATTAAACGCGTTCTCTACATGCTCAAAGCGAGATAAAGTGCGGCGGGTAGAACCTATTGTACTTCCGCGCGTCCTTACCAGCACAGGGTCACGTATTGCGGAATCTGGAGCAGCCATAGCATGATCGTATAGTATTCTTTGCTGGTGTCTGTCATTATTCACATACCTCTCAAGAGGTCCTTTTATCACAGTGTCATAATCGACAGCATCATATCTGACTGTCTCTGTGTCAGCCCTTCGTGTTAAAGGTTGGACCAACCATCAATGATAATCAAAATCTTGTATTGTAAACGGCCAATGCAATTTGAATTTTGCATGACGACAAGGATGTCCCATGTTATTTGTCATCCGATTCTGACAAGGTCCTGGGTCAAGTCTTTTAATCCATTGACAATGTGCTGCCAGTACACCTGCAACGGAAATACTGTCCATTACTCCTGCAAACAGAGGTCCTAGCTTCATTTCGACGATGGCGCGTTCACTTGCGTTTTGATGGCTGACTATAGCAAGTTGGCCGTGGCAAGCCAACGCTAGAGCTGTGCTTACCGGCCATATATCAACTAAGGGCAAAAATATAATTAAGTAGCCGAACTGCCAATATCATTGAGTCCAAAGTAATGCTACTTACATGTGGATCCGTTCAACCACTTCTTAATAACCGCATGTGCGCTCTCAACACGTGACGTTGTCTCATGACCGTAATGTAGACAACCATCCAAGTAGCAAGACACGAACACTTTTTTGTAAACCAGCCGAGTATCATCCAGATACTTCATCACATGAGCTGGTAGATCAACCCTCATCGCAACACTGCTGGCGGTCATACTCTGTCGTAGATTGAGCTTGTACCAAGCAGTTCCACGTCAGCTGCAATTGTTTAAACTACTTCGTGGAGTCAAAATGTATTCGCATCTTAGCGGTGGTGTTCTTGTTTATGTGTCATCTACAAAGCAGTGTACTCGCAGAGGGAAAACAGTTACCGAGCGCGTCCATTAAGGACATCTCGCGATCAAAAACGAGTGTTTTTGGTGTAGCGATGTCGAACATCTCGAATACCCGCCTCAGTTTCTGCACCGCCCATATGTATCGCCTTCTGTCTCATTTCTCATGAAGCAATAGGCGAAAGTGTAGCTGTTGTTGGTCTCAGTACGCCCACAATCTACGCCTACAATTTGCAGCAAAGGTAGTCGAAATCGATTGGTCTTGTAAGTGGCGTCAATCAAAGATACCCGGCTTGCGCTGAAACAGGCAGTGACTTCCCTGGCAGAGGGAGACTCGATAAAATAGGTGCGTAAGCTGCTGCTCAGCATCAAATTTCGCGTAGAACGGTGCATTGTTGTTTTCTTCATTGCTTGTTGCTAGACTTTCTAGCAATTTTGTAAGAGGAGACCTTCCTCCTAGCAATCGGCGGCGCTCATTTGCGCGAATGTTGTAAATATCGTGCATAATAACACCTACGATATCAGATCGCCGAAGGGAGGCAACGATATGACCAGCGCTGGTGCCTGCACGCAAACTCGCAATCACCAATTTTTCTTGTTCTTCCGTCAGAGCACGTAAACGTGGATGCACCTTGATATCTACAAAGGGATAATGTTTAATGAACTTCATGAGTGACTAAAATTAACTACTGGTCTGGTTGTTCTTGACGTCGCTGTCGTGTGATAGTGGCCGAGAAGGAGCAGCCAGTGGCGCCGCTGGAGCACATGCGCTGACGAAGAGACGCTGTACCTGAATCTGTACCAGAATAAGATCGGCGGCCGTTGCATGAGCATTGCAGATCTACTGCCTTAACCTAACCGTTATTGCGTTCACCCAACCTTTGTTTCCTTTAAATAGTTGTAACATAGCCTTCCGGCAGTGTTAGCTCGTCAAGCGCGTGGCGGGCTTCGTCCACATAATCGAACAGCTCTTCTGTGAGCTAATTAAAGCTTTTTATACGGCTTTTAAGGAAGGTTGTCACGGGTACGATTGACTAGATGATATGAGATGAATATACGTTTATTTCTTGAAGGACAACGATCTAATTTTATAAGTTAAATGACCTTCAAAATTAATAACTTGTTAACAGTATGGAGTGAAGACTTATTATCGAAAACTGAAGGCTCATTAGCGGCTCCCTTAAAAACACTTTGATAAAAAGGAAGGTCTACACGTAAGAGACACTAAGTTGCGTTGTCACTCATACGTCCGCCAAGATCCGCTCCGCGCGCCCACACCGTTAGACACGCCTAAAACACGTGCATAAATGGTGCCAGGGGTGTGGTTAGATACATGGATTCTTCCATAATGAGGCACGATGTGGTTCAGACATTCTTTAAAAAAGCAAACACCTTCAAGCACACAAGAACGAATAAAATTGATGCAAGTTGGATCTCAACTTTGGCTAGCCTAAAATTTGAAGTAACCTGGATCATGAGATATCGTGAACGATTTCTTCTACCACTTCTGCTTCTTCTAGTACTGGTGTACCCTTCAAAGTGTGGCCGACACTTGTTGATAGTCATCTGCACCTTAGGGAGAAATTGAGACTCTTTCCACTCGTCGTCCAGATCAAGTCCGAGACCGCATTGTGAAAAAGTGCAGAGATAGAATGATGGAAAGTTTGGATCGTGCGAATTGCCTTAAGTGCGAAACCTATTCGATTGGTGGAGCGCACTCGGAGATGGGCCCGTTGGCATGGGTGATGGGATCAAACGACTGAGTGACAGAAAACGACGGTCGAACTTATGCGGATTGGTCTACCTAACGGTCAAGAAGAAGTATGGTCAAGGATCGGCGATTGACAGATCACGATCCGCGATCAAGGACTTGGATCACCAAGCCACAAGGACAGGCTTACCCAAAAGGTGAACAGCATCTGGATTACAAAATCAGTAACGAAAAATGGATGATGGGTGAATATGGAGGCATGCCGGAGGAGCGGATCATCAAGCATGCGAATTTTCAGGAGCGACAGCGATCCGACCGTAAATTTCCGATCGGAGACGCAAAATATTGACCGCGATCTATCATGAGTGCGTATCACTTGATTGTGTGAGCACATAATTGGCGCGGACAAAATACCGCGATCCAC